GGTACCTCCAGCATACTCCATTCACTGCGCAATGTGATTGAGATTTTGGAAATGTTCCCAAATGAATTGTCAGATACCATCGTTGCCTGTGATCATCTCGAAGCTATCATCTGATTTGAGATAGCTAGTCACTGGACCTTTAACTGGGACGTTGTCGACATATGGCACCATGAATGCAGGAATTTCTGATTGAAAATGTATGTGACATCATTGTGGAAGATCGGCACTGAGTTGGTCAACCCCATCGGAAGGGTGACAAGTTGCAAAGCTCCAAATGGCATCTGGAACGTGGTAAGGTCATGTGATGTCTCTGCTATGAGTCTCTCATCATATCCAACATATAGATCGAGCATGGCTCCACAGGCACGACTGCCGAACTGCTCCACTAGGTGCTCCGGAGTCAGCATAACTCCTGTGTGCTGAATCGTAACTGCATTCAATGGTTCAAGGCTGTGCATGAGTCGTAGAGACTTTCTGTCCTTCTTTATGATGCAGAACCATTGCGATCGGTATGATGAGTTTGAAGGCTTGTAAACTTCAGCATCCAACTTCTTCTTGATAATCACACAGACTTCCTTGTAAATGCCTGGTGGAATTGAAATGTTCTGCTGAACCCATGGCTGATGTAAAACGACTGAGAAATCTATCAGTGGGAAGTATTCCGATTTGAACCATCCTCGCTCAGAATCACTTCAAGCAAAAGCTTGGTTATGCAAACACATGAATGCATGCATAAGGGCTCGCTCTTCTGGCCACAAGAATCCTGGCTGGTGTATGATATTCAAGGCCTCCATTCTTTCTTTCATATAGTGACTGGTTGGAAAGAAAGGCCCAGGCCACTCGGGAAGCTCAGGTAGGTGTCGCAAAGGGTCCCCGATGATTTTGCAAATGATTCGGAATTGCTCGGAAACTGATGCGATCACTGGTCTAGTTTTGAGCGCAACTGGCTTATACTTTTTCTTGGTCGCAGCATAGCTTGCTCTCAAGCTTGACTTTTGACTGCAACTTTGGCCTATAACCATCTGTAGTAGACACGAAGTTGAGCTTCAGGAAGTTGATCGAAAATCTGAAGTGACTGTGTATAATGATGACACCATGTCGAGGACCTGTCCTGAGGCTCACGAATAGCTTGACTGAATGAAGATGGGATCAGAAGGTACGACTGGGGAATAGGCTGATATAATCAGGGTATTTGTGCTGCTTACATCAATGATTAATGCCATCCCGCTGCTTTCGGCACTCATATCTTCCATTAGTGAAAACCTGGATCCTTCGATCACAAGTGCTGTGCCCTGACTCATGGTGGTCCTCTTGGTATAGTGGGTATCATTGTGACTCTTCCTGTGTTGGGACATACAATTGTAACTGTCTGATTCTCATCAATGAAATTGTGCACCACACTCTTAGTGAGCACGTCGAATGGTCATCCTAGAAGAATATCGTATGTGGCTGCATGAATGACATGGATCTGCAAGTACAGGACCATATCTCCGACTTGGAACAGTACATTGCAAACCAGTTCGAGCAACTGGTCAACTTCTCTGTTCGCAGACTGCATGTTGAGCTTTATTGTTGGATCGTAAATAAGCCCCAGCGAGAGGCAGACATCTTCGGACATTGCGACAATCTGGCATCCTGAATCTAGAATCACCTATACTCATTCCTTGTTGTCGATAAGTGTGTCTATCAATCGCAATGCATGCGAGTCTTGTGCGACTGTTAACTGTTCTGGCTCTTCTTCATTGTGAATGTGCTTCAGGTAGGCATTATACAGATCAGAAATGACTGAGCCTGTCGCTGCTAAAGGCTCTCCTCAACAGGTGAGCTCTTCCTCCTGTCCGATCATGAAACTGCTGTCTTCTGCATTTTTGAAGATCATCGCCATTCCGGTCACACTTGGCGGTACTACTCATTTCGGTGTGCATGCTTCGCGATACTTGTTGCACACATCTGATGATATCGACAGCAACTCGCCATGACTTCATCGATCGCTCAAAAACTGTAGTCGCAAGCTTCAGCTGGTAGACTGGTGGTGCATTGTGATAGGCTGCATTTCATGCTCCTGGCTTTGGGGCTTGACCGAAATTGTGAGTGTTGGGCAGAACATACAACACATCTCGAGCTGATCAGAAAGGATGCTCTGGCACTGAATCTGCAACCACTGGAACTGACGTACCCAGCGTGCTCTCAGTGGCCTTCTCTGGCTCCACCTGAGGTTGCAACTGCTGTTCAGGTGCCTTCTCAGATTGCGCTGGCTTTGCAGCTGATCCTGCCAGTCACCTCAGTGGCATATAAACTCCATCAAAGACTGGTTGCGATCACTTCAGATTGAACAACTCCTGCTCCAATGCTTCGATTCTA